TATCTTTACTCTTTACTATTACTTAAAAGTCTGGGATGGGAGGACCCAGACAGAGATAAACTGATACGCAAGGTAACAAATCAAAAATGTAATGTGTTTTATTTTTATACTTTGATTTACTTGTAATGAAATGTATGAATRAAACAGGTAGTGACATCAATTTTTAACAACGGTATACAGACATGTAGTAAAGATAAACCAAGAAAAACTTCACTCATGTACAAATGTCACAACAAAAAATACTTAGGGGCTGCTCAAGGTTTATCGGGTGTCATACATTGCCTTCTTCTAGTATGTTTATTGTTTTTATTAAACACCTACGTACAGTCTTGTAAAATACACTATTTAAATATATTTGATTACAAGTACAGATACTTTCAAATACTTTAAAATGTCCATAAATTAGATTTTTATTCATAACCATCTGTTTTTTTGGCCAAGGGTTTTGGTTACTAACATAAAAATATAAATTATCATATATTCAACATTTTTTTTTATTATTATTTTACGCTATTGAATTGAAAATAAAAAGTATATTAAACAAAAAATTAAAGGTGCTCTATTTTAAATACAGATACTGTGAAAAATAATTACAATGTTTTTTCAAAACTATTAAAAATACGCATTGAKTGCTTAAAAAGCATTTAAATATATTTACTCAAGTACTTTACAAGACTCCCTACGTTTTATTATGGTATCATAATGATAAAATGAAGTATGTTTGTAATTTTTTTTTTTCTGAGTTGTCACTAAAATGTTTAAAATTATTATTGTTTAAGGCTAAAAGTTATCTTAAAAAAAGTGAATTGGACAATCTTATTAAACCAGCCCTCGACTACTTATTGACACTGAGGTATAAATCTGGGAATCTACCATCTTCTCTGTGTAATGATCCTGATCATTTAGTTCAGTGGTGTCATGGTGCATCAGGTGTCTCACACACTTATGCACTAGCTTACAAAGTAAGATACATTTAAATGTATAAATATTAAATTGCGACTGATTTTATTCAGTATCAGTATTCTGAATAAATTGCCATTAATATAATATAGTACTATTTTATATAATATTTAATGTATGTATTTAATTCTATATATTTTGAATATTTTTAAATGTTAAGTTTTTACTACTACTATAACAATTATATCTTAACAACTATTAGTTCTTTAAATACAAAAATAATTTTTCTTTATGTTTCACGCCAAGTGCCTTCACTAGTTGATTTTTCTCTCTAGCCATTCAAGCCATCACAATGCTCGGCCTTATTTTTATTTTTTAATCATGCAAATATTCAAATTATGATTTTTGGAAATTTGATTACTTAGAAGTAATTCTAATGTCATTTTGTCACGCGTCATAAACAAAGTAATGGGTTACTTTTGTTATGATACTATCCAAACCTGATAAGTACCCTCTAATTTGAGTTTTTCTATCTAGACTTTTGCCAGTTATCAGATAACARATTATTTTGAGATGGAAAAGTTTTTTATCATCTGCAAAAGCATATTGAAATTTAAAAATGTACTGTTTTTTTACTAAAATTTGTTCTTATTCACAGTTTTTTTAAAATAATGATGTGTATATATTCAGTTATTTCTATTGATCCCTGATATAATATTAATTAACATTAATTAACATCCTTTTTCTATGTGATAAATTATTAGTGATGATATACACATTTAATATTATAAATAATTTAATTGTAGGTCGTACAATTCAAGTTTATAGTATAAAATTATAATATAAGCATGTTTTAATGTAAATTATAAATGGTCTTGCTCTGTAGATAGTTATGATAGATTATAGTAATATATACATTTGAATAATAAGTTATGTTTGCAAATAAGATTTTTCTAGATGAGAAGTACCTTAATGCAGCAGTACAATATGCTGATATTGTATGGAAACGTGGTTTATTAACTAAAGGATATGGACTGTGTCATGGTGTTAGTGGAAATTCTTATACTTTTATGTCATTGTTCCAATTAACTGGWGTAAGTTTATTAAATTATTATGATAAATTATATACTGTTCTATGCCTAGTCTAAATATTATGTAGTATATAATATAATGTATGAATATTTAATGTTCTATTGATAATAGAAACATTAAATAATCAACCAATAAATTTCAATGAATCATGGTTTTATTTTTACATTACAGTTTAATTAGATAAGATACACTCAGTAGTATTGGTTGAAAATTGGTAACTCATACTAATCANATAGACATTAAATTATTAAATAATCAAAATTTGATATTGATGTGTTAGAATTTAACTTTTTAACTTGATAGTTACTTTTGGGTATTGGTTATAACTATCTTATTACTACCAACTTGAGAAGATGTCAGCGTACTATTTGTTTTCTCAGCCCATGCTCAACGTAAATAAAACACATTTACGCAGAATCATTTTTTTTAATGTTTTATAATAATCTTAGAGTAAAATCACCCATTACAAAAATTATAAAGAATAATATTTTTAATTTAATGACATATCAATATTATATTTTATWATTATTTGATTTTGTATTCTACTTATAAAATATAAAAAAAAATGTGAATTTAAATGATGTTTAAATTGTTTTAAGAAAATATTTAAACAATTMGATATATTTCATTCCCTTAAAAATATTGTTCTCCTATATTTTTTGTAATAGATRATTTTACTCTAAGATTAATTAAAAACAGAAAAAATGATCCTGGGTGAATGGGTTTTGTCTATGCTGAGCGGTGTGAGCCTGAGAGAGAAAATAAATAGTKTGCCRCCATATTCTTAACTTCATTGTTTCAATAATTAATCTAAAATTGCTAAATTAAAGTTTCATTTCAAGAAGTTAAGTTAGTTTATTAGTTTTTCAATTTTGATATTGATTTTTGCAAAAAAATATTTCGGGAATGTCTGGAATGAATTGTTTTTTGTTTAGTSATAAAAACATAGGTGGTGTTTGGGAGGAAAGGGTTAGTATAAATATTACATATTTTTAAGTAGGACAAAAATTAATTTGGCCAGTTTTATAAACAATTTGTTATTTGGTAAATTTTGTGATACATTTTGTAGAAATTATAGCTTTATAAAATATACTTTGTCCACATATTTTTTTTTATGGTAATTGAATGTTGTTTGAATCTAAAATRATAATGGATATTATTCACTATTAATATTGTAATTTTTTTGTTTTAAATAATTATTATTTTATGATTGTGTTAACATAAAATATTATTACATCAGTTTTACAACTATTGTACTGTTGTACTATACTATGTGTACTTCTAAAATGATGTGATACATGTCCTACATGCCACAATCATGTTGTTAATTTATGATTATATTCTATTATATATTTTTGACAAAACTAAGTATGAAGTTATATTCTATTCGAATCTTATGAATTTGGTACAATAGAATGTAATATTGTAATGTATCTATTATTTCAACTTAATTAGAAAATCTAGTCTTTATTCTATGTTTATTGGCATTAATAAATATTATTTTCTACAGGAAACTAAATATTTATACCGAGCTGCAAGGTTTATTGATTGGTGCTTAACAACCAATCGTCAAAATAGAATACCTGACAACCCATATTCAATGTTTGAAGGTATTTATTTTATATTTATCTAAAATGTTACTTATATTTTAATCATTTTAATTGTTTTTGAAAAAAMATCCATTGAACTAAAAAAATGTTTTATTGTTTATTATCTGAGTGATTTACATACTAAGTGAACCTAATGTTGCTGACCATATATAAAATCCAATAATAATTTATTGAGAAACTTTTCTATGAAAAACCACCAACTTAATTTTTTTAAATTAATCTCTTCCATAGATTTTTCTGCTTAAAATGTATTGACATAAATAATAACTACAAAAAAGATGGTGTTTACTAGTTGGGCCTGTAAGTCGCCTATTTAATCTATTTAAGTCCTGATGTTTTACAAGTAGTACACTCGTTGGGTTCTACTATTTTGCAGGTTCTACTTTTTATCGTCAATGTCAAATACATTATTTATTATTGTTTAATTTAATTTTTATTATCAATACATTATTAAATTCATCAATTTTAAATACCCAACTCGAATACATGAGAAAAAAGAATAGTTAAGAGAGTGCAACACTCATATTTGTTGTCTCAGTATTACAAACGTGTAACAGCAAATTTACGCTCAGCAGTTCACATTTTACTCTGTTAGCTAAAAAATTAGAGTGAATAGATCTAATATGAAACTTTATGGTGAAAATATTATCTATCTTTTGTTGGATATATTTTTACAATAATTCAGTGGGTTATGAGAATTTTTATTTCACAATTTATTATATGTGCATAACTAACTTAAAAGCTGAATTATCRTAAAAATACTTCCAACAAAACACAGATAATATTCTTACCATCAAGTTTCATAATAAGTTTATTCACTCTAATTTTTAAGCTAACGGAGTAATACGTGAACTGCTGAGCGTACATTTGCTATATTACACGTCTGTAAGACTGTAACAACAAATACAGATGTTGGGCCCTCTTAATTTATTATAATAAAAAAATATCTAGTACTATTACCATTATCTTTAATACAACTGTCATAATCTTTAATTTTTAAAATTGTGTATCTCTAACTCAATAATTTAAACACTCGAGTCTCATTCTGTATCTGAACATTTATAGCACTACTAAATGCAAGTTATGCTTTTAAATTGCTGTCCAATGGAAATTATTTATATTATATGCAAATGTTTGTATCTTAAATATCAATCATTTAACCAAAATAGAATAGGTAAAAGTTCTATAAAATTTTTAACTTTTTTAAATTATTTATACAGGTATATCTGGCGTTACATATGCTCTTATGGACATTCAAAATCCCAAAACAGCCCATATACCAGGATTCTAACTTTTCAACTAAAAAGCAGATTACTCATCTTTTTATTAAAAGATTTTCTAGTCAATACAAGCAACCTAAACAAATGGAGCTTAATAATAATTTTATTTATACAAGTTTTAATATTACCTATATACAATTTATTATATAAATACTAAAAGGTATTTAACTCAACCACATATTTAAAAGTTAAAGTTTTCCTATTTTTACCTTTTTATTCTTCTGTGTATGTATGTAGTGTTTTTACTCATGCTAATATTATTTTTATGTATTATTGTTAAATTATTCAAGAATACTTGAATTAATAATATTAATGTTTCATTAATAAACAAAACATTGTTGTCAAGTCTAATCACATTCTATAGATAAATAGTACAATTAAATGTACCAACAATTTCTAACTCATTAACTTACTTTAGTTCATATATTCAAATTAAATTATAAAGTTAGTTCAAAAGTTTATTTCCCAAACTACCTATCTGAAATTAAATTAGTTAAAATTTAGAAAACTAATGTCTCCAATTTGCGTTACTATTAGGTATATGATGTGCATTGTATACAAGCTATATATTAATGTATAATTATAAAGATTATTGAGACTTGAATATGTATAATGGTTAGTAAGGTTTAGGATGTTTATGCACTAAAAAATAAATAAATAAGTATGCCCTTATAAACTAAAAAAGTGCTAAATAAGCATGAACAATTTGAAATATTTGCATAACATACTTTTATATTTTAAATATTTAATTAAAATTAAAATTGTTTAAAAATAAATGTATTTATATGATTGATTGTTTTTGTGAATATTTATTTTATTTATTTATATATATTTACGGGCAAAGCCCTTTACAACAATTTAACACAAAACAATAAAAATTAAGATACCATATAAAAGTTTAAACATGATAATAATTCAATAATAGTAATAATAATAATAATAACAATAATATGTAATATAAAATAGTAATAAAAGTAGTAAAAGTAGAACAAAAAAAATTTTTCAATTAKAAAATATATTATGATAAATGGTACTCTCTTTCTTTACAAAGTAAGATTCATGACAATAAATAAGTGATAATTTTTATAAATTCTATATATGTAAAATACATATATTACAAACTCAGTTTATGTTTTTTTTTTTTTTTTTTTGTATTTTCTATCAAAAACCAGAAAATAGCTAAAATATTATGTACTTATACACTAAATTTCGGAAAATATGCAAATGTATATAAAATAAAATGTTGGTATTGAATTTAGAATGTATAAAAAAACTGTCTGTTAAATAATATATGCAACAGGACAATATAAAAAAACATGCAAAATTATAAACATCCTAAACTTAATATGATAATTTAATTTTAACGTTTTTACTATAATTTATTATTTTATAATTGATAAGAATTAGAGCTCTAATAGATGAATGCCTGTACCTACTCATTACACATGTTTTGTTATTATTTTTTTTTTAATGAATTGAACTGACTTGTATTAAATAAGCAACAACTATTATTTATAATCTGACTGAACTATAATAAAGAATTACAATTAAAATAATGCTCTATTTGAACTCCTTTGTTAAAACCATTAACTTTTATGATTTATTCAATATTGACAATTATTTAATTAATTAWTCCTACTATTTTAATGTGTAGTAATTATATACCAATATACAGAACAAACTGTTAAGTGCCATAATATTATAACTAGTAAATTATTTTTTTTTTGTCTATTTTAATTATATAATTAAAATCCATATTTTTACTTTTTTAATGTATTTTATAGAACTTTCTTTGTAATGTTTTGGTTTTGATTGAACATTATCCATGTCATAAATCATATTTTATTATTGTACACCGAAGTTTATTTCATTATTAATAAACTCTTATAAATTGTAATATTTTTTTCTAATGTATTCCTTAGGAGCTTATGCATTATTTACTTTATTATTGTTTTTATTTTGAGGTTGTTGACAATGGATCAATTCATTAGACTAGTTTTCAAATATAATGAATTTAAAAARTGTATGTAGTCTTTTAGAATCCAATTTTTCAAACTTCTTTTAAATTTAAGATTGAAGAATGACTGAAAGTATACTTAATTTTGCTCTGTTTGCATTTGGATTGACTATTTAAATTTAAGATATTTTTAAACTGTATTTTGTTCTTCTCTCGTAAATTAAAATTTATATAAACTATTATAAAGTAAAAAAGGCTTTTATTTTTATTTTTACTAACTAAACTATCTAAACATCGTACATTTTGAAAATTTTACATCCACATAGTAAACTACTAACCTTGTTAATAAAATCATTTAATTTTTTATTAGTATGAACTTATCACTTATGATTTAAAAACTAAACTAAAATTTTTCAATGCAGTTAAATTTATATTTGAACCTACATATTATCTAATGMTCAGTATTAATCATAAACATATATGGGCTGTGATTCCCCCTCCCATCCCCTGCCATATGTTCCCTAGTGTCAAAACTGTTTGAAAAAGATAGCCAATCACTGACACTATGCATATGGTGTCTATGGTGGTCCCAATAATGAATGCCGGCGGTTTTTAACCTGTGGTTTTCGGCACATTGGGTGTTAGCGACACTAATGTATTTATAGTTATAAATACGCACAATATACATGAATATTAATCTTATTAATATTTATTTTTGTTAAATTATCGAAGATAGTTTTGAATTATTTGTAATAAAAAAATGTTAATTTTTAAAGATGGATTTCATTTTTATAGGGGTCTACATGCCACAAAAGGTTAAAAACTGCTAATGTACACTATCTTTTCCAAAAAAAGTTGTTATGTATCTTTGTTAAGTTTTTTTCCCTCGACCCTCACATTATTGATATCTAAGTATAGACTATAGGTAAATTTTTTACTATATTTTCCTAATAATTTTGTCCCAGAATTTCTCTCTCAACATTCAGTCCATATATTTATTATTTATATTACGTCTATGGCACTTATAAACCATTGAGTTAAAGCTTGAAAAAAATAACAAGGGTATTAGATACTTTAATCTTATAATAAAATTTAACTTAACTATATAAGCTATATTTATTATATTTAAGTKTTCGTGTGTGTTATAAACAAGTAATGTTAATTTTTAAAACTAATTTGTGGTATTTTTTTTGTGTTTCACTATTTATTATGTCTGTTTAATGCTAGGCGTCTTAGACTTAAGTTTATTCTTGTTGTACCATTCATTTATGTAWCTGTGTTCATTACTTAATATTTATTTATCAAAGACATGGCATTTTTCATACATTATGCTTAATTAATWCAGAATTATGCTCTATTTATTTTTTTTATAATAATATAACTAATATTGCTTAATATATAATTTAAAAAATGTGATACTGAATATATAAGCATTTGTTACTATTTATTTTCATGGCACCGGTCCAATGTRCGACCTACACTGCATTTTTTTAYAGTTATTATAGTTATTGTAATTAATTKTATTATTTAATCATTTAAATTTATCCATATTAATAGTTATTATAGTTATTAATTCATTCATAATTAATTATCCTTCTTCTCTGATAAGAATTCATCGTACTTTATGTCATAAAAGCATCTTTCATGTCTGATAAAAATTCGTCAAATGTAGTTTGCTTGTTTGGCTCAAGGGATCTCCACCACTCTTTTTTAATAATTAAGTTGTCTAGGTAATAATGGAGATGTGCCGTTTATTACTCTTATTCCATATCATTTTTTCACTATTTTCCACAGACATTCTATGGTTTGATTATTGACATTTGTATCAGGATCAATAAACCATTAAACCATTTTTGATGATTCACAGTATTGTGCAGTGCCGGAAGCGTAGGTAACTAACTTTATGTGCGCCCTTGGTAACCAATATTATAAATTTATAATGAATTTTTAGTATTTAAATGGTATAAAAATTGCACCCCTAGTGCGWTCATTTTAAACTGCGCCCTTGGCCACCGCCCATCTTACCAATGACTAGATACGGCACTGGTATTGTTCTGTGGTACTGCGTATATGTACCCTTCATTGTTTAATGACGAATAAGCTCTCCATTCATCACTATGGATTATACTTTCTAGTTCTACTTCATTTATAATAATTTAAGATAACAAGATAAGGATAGGTCAATTATCAATTGTAGGTCGCACATTGGACCGGTGCCATTTTCATACATAAAAATATGTTCAAAAATAACCTCATTATACTTACACCCAATCTGATATTAATTTAATTTTTGTATAAAATAATATTGTTTTCAAGTATCTCTTTTAAATTTCTAAAATATAGTTTGCTGAAGGTTATTACATTAAACTTTTGTTATGTCGAAACTCGAAGGAAACATAAAAAGTTCTAAATGTTGAGTGACGAGTGTTATTGTAATAGTAAATTAAATTGTGTGTTGCGTCTCAGCATACAGATGAGTGACGTCTTGTGTTGAGTTGGGAGGAATTAGTGAAATAGGTAATTAACAAGGTAGCTCATTTAATAATTATTAAATATTTATTGTAAAGAAMTAAGTAAAAACACTGCTAATTTATACTAGACACTAGGAGTAGCTAAATCATCAAAGTATGTTAGCATTTAGAAGAGTATCAGATTGCTAAAAAATATTTTTAGTCCCTAACTTATTCGATTGAAATATTCTAAGTCCAAATAATAATTTCAGAAAGATGACTGGCGTGTGAAGGCACTTGCACTGGTTCTGTGGTTCTGTTACGTCTAAATTTGGTCTATTTGGCCATTCGGGTCTCTCCTATATAGGCCTGACTCTGCGTCTCCTCTCCTAACGATAAGATTAGCCTATATCCAAGGTCAATAGTAAAATGCGTATGTGCGTGTTTCAAGGAAACCGTGACGTCCCCCRTTCGTGCGGTCACTCTATGGCTACATACTRTTATTCGTAATGCGTCATCTCACTWCTACTATAAAATTATATATTTATATGTGATTATATCCCATGTTAAACCAGTGTAATATTATATATTTAATTAAGGTCATATTATTAAGGTATATCTAATATTTTATAAATTATTCTTGGAACCATAAAACACAGTCCACTCGTTTTATTATGTACCTACCGATGATTTCCCTATTTCCAGTTTTCTTTTATTACAGAGAGTATTAGCGGTGTGTTACGGTGACGTCCACTGATTCTCACTATTTTTCACTCAGTGGTTTGATCTAGAGAACCTAGATAATAATATTATTATCTAGGCTCTCTAGTTTGATCCTAATATCCTATTACCCTAGCGCTCCATTGATTCCGCAGCAGGTTAGCACCGATACCTATATTCATTTTCATCATTTGCTATGTTCTTTGGCCGTCATCGTCACAACAAATTGCCTTCACTTATTCAGCATTAAATGTTTATATAATTATATTAAGTTTTGGAAATTTTAAAGCTTTTTAATGAAGTGAAAAATATTTATCTATGAAAGGTATAATTCATAAAATTAAAAAGAAAAAATCAAAAACATGTAAGTATAATAGAAAATCAAGTGAAGATGCAATTATGTAACAAATATTGCCCTATTAAAACATTTAAAACTGTAAAAATTGGTTTGGCGTATAAAATCCTGCTTTTCTTAATTWTTTTGGTTTTACCAGTGATTTCGAAATTTAAATTTAGACTAATTAGTTACTTACTAAGTCACTTTACTAACTTAATCGATGAAGAGGTAGAAAATCGGAATATTC